TACCGCGGGGTCAGCCACAGGGTGGTGTGGTCCCCTGAGACTCTCTGTCCCTGAGGACTGGGGTACACATTGTGAAGGGAGGAATACAGCATTTTGGCCCAGGAACCCTATGTCTTCTTTATCTCCCCATCTACTCATTCCTTCTTTGCATCTCGTTTTCCTTCTGTGCATCTTCTTTTCTTGATTCCTCTTCTCATTATCTGCCTTTCCCCCAACACTCATTTGGTTCCAGACTCAGTGTCAGGCCTGGGACCCCACACTCACAGGCATGATCCTTAGTTTGTGTTCCTCAACATCCAGAGCTATGTCATGTCTTTGGGACTCTGCTTCCAACATTATTTCCAAATCTGTTTCTTAGATGGCTTCACAGGGAGGTGCTGACCCACACACAGGCATAGTCTTTTCTGGAACTGCCCTGCCCACTTCCCCCAGTTGGCCCACAGCAAAGATGGCCCACCTTTTAGCAGAGCAGGTCCTAGGCCTGCCACTCAGGCATTGCCACAATCTGGCCTCAACTTGCCTTTCTGGCCTCTTCTCCCAGCCTGTCCCCTACCCTGACCACTTACTGGTTCCCAGCACAACTCACACTCTTACCGCTCAGTGTCTTTCCTTATTCTGTGCCCTCAGCTTAGACCACTTCCTGTCCCTGCCTGTTGGGACCTGCATCACCCTTCGGGGCTGAGTGCACACATCACCTGTCCCGTGGAGCCTTCTGGTGCCGTCCTTCTTTGGGGATAAAACTTCATACTTGGCTTTCTCATGCCTCATGGCCCAGTGTGTTTGTGGCCCAGTTAGCTATGCCGCTGGAATGTGAGCTCATCGAGCGACCAGGCCCTCTGCCTTACTTGTCTTCTGTACCCTTCGCAGTTCCCAGCACATCGTAGATCCTTTTGTGTGTGTTGGCTAAGGAAAGGAGGCAGAGAAAATTAGTATTAACCCATGTATTAGCTTCCTGTGGCTGTTATAACAAATTACCACAAACTTGGTGGCTTAAAACTTTAGAAACATGTTCTCTCACAGTCCTGGAGCCCGCAACACTGAAATCAGTATCACTGAGCCAAAATCAAGGTGTTGGCAGGTCTGAAATCAGTATCACTAAGCCAAAATCAAGGTGTTGGCCGGGTCTGTGGGCCCTGGGGAAGATCCGTTTCTTTCCTCGTCTAGTCTGGGGGCCCTGGGGAAGATCCGTTTCTTTCCTCGTCTACCTGTGTGTGGCTACGGCTATGCCTATATCGCTCCAGTCATCAGATCTCTCTCTGCCCTGTCTTCACAGCACCTTCTCATGTCAGATCTCCCTCTATTTCTTTTATAAGGATACACTTGACTGGATTTACTGTCCACCCAGATAATCCAGGCTAATCTTCTCACTTCAAGATCCTTAATTTACTCACACCTATAAAGAACCCCTCCCACCCCTAACCCTGCCTTTGTTGGCCATAGAAGTCATGTTCGAAATTCCCAGGGCTTAGGACGTGGACATACCACAACCTGTTGGTGGATTTCAACTTTTTATTTGTTCTGATTTCTGATTCATAACTTCTGAGGCTGCTGAATCTGGAAGGCATTTATTTGGTCGTGATGGTGCTGAAGGTGACACCACTTCACAGCCCTCCAGGGACAGGTTGGTACAATTTGGAGAAACAAGCTAAGCAAGGCTTTGGCAGATCTGTTTATCCTGTTCTTGCCTCTGAGACTGTTGCATAATGATGGGCTACTTCATGACATGGAACAGTCTGCCCTCTCCACCTGGAGCAAATCTAGAGGGAATCTGGAAATCTTCTGAGATGTTTTTCCCACATTAGGTTTGGGGACATTTGGCTGTCGCCTCTTCCATTTACAAGGTAAAATTTCCATCTGTAAGGTTTTCTTTTGGGACCATTGAGGAGGATTACCTCCCAGGTACATTCGGGCAGATGAACTTTTAGGCCTTCACGGTTTTCCATATTAAATGCTAGCTGGTGGGCTTGGACTCTAGTTTGAATCCTGATTCTGCCATCACGGTATTGTCTGGCTCCAGGACATCCCCATGTCTGCAAAATAGCTCTTTGGTCTTCTCCAGTGTTTGCGGATTCATTTTTTGCAGCTCTAAGACTCCATATAGCCCTTTGCTGATCAGTTACACTCTATCAGCTCAAAATGGAGACAGTTTTGAGATTTTATTTTCATCAAGTCCCAGCAAATGCCAAAAGTTTTGCACCGAAGATTCTATAGTGTCTTGGCTGGTGTAACTAGTTGGTTCTGCCTGAAGATATTTGTACAACTTAACAGATATTGACATGGCCTTTGAAACTCCTAAAAATTCTGGGCTGGGGGAAAAGGAAGGGGTGTTCACTGCCCTTTGGCGTGAGTCCAAGACGCAAGGTAACCATCTG